CAGCGACACTGCTATCAACAGCACACCTCTAAGGCAGGAGGCATCCTGCCTTTATCAGAGAAGATGGAAAGCCAGTATCACAAAAAAAAAAAAAAAAAATTAAAAATGCAGTGTTACAAAAGCTAAGTCTAGCAAACTTTCCCTCCTTTTAAAAAAAGTCTCAAGGAAGACACCATAAACAGAGTTTCAATCCAGCAGGTGGGTCAACACAAATATCTTGAGAGAGATACCACGCTCTCCTACCATTTCTTGCTTAGAAATTAGGAGCCTGCAGTCTGCCAAGCAACCCTGTTCTCTTCATGCTCAACTGTGCACTGTTGTGCCCTCCCTGAGCTGTTCTGTACACATACAGACTATTGGGATGCTACAAGGGAAGTGTGAGTTTCCTTAAGTAGTGTATTCAGAAAAAAAAAAGACTCAAAATCACAAAGCCACATTCCTGCAAATGCTTCCTGTGTGTTCAAAGCCAGATGAAAATGCTTATTTCCCTTTTCTCTAGACAGGATTTTGGAAGGAAATCCCAGAAGAGAGAGATGCATGCATAGATCAGTCTGCCAAAGATTTAATTTACAAAGCTTCTAGGGAGGAACGAGGGGAGTACTTACTCCCTGAATAGTCTTAAAAAAAAGATGCTATGTCTCAGAGTATTTGTGGAACAGCAGGCTTCTCTATAGCAATCTGCAGACATCATCACAAAATCATCTGCTTCTCATTTTAACTACACATGCCCTTTAATAATGGAGTCTGTTGATAAGCTAGTGCAAGAATTTGCTCAAGGACATAGGAGGCCAGTGACACAACCAACTGCTTTGAACTGTAACCACTGTATCATGTGCAACTGCAGACAAACATGGTTCACAGACACAAACTTTCAAACCCCTTCCCTGATCCTCTGTCAATTTTCTTCCCTACTGCTCTTATTTGTGCAGAAAGAAAAACTGAGAGAGAACTCTTACCAAGGATACATCATCCAGAATGAGGCCAAAAGTTGCTGCTCTCTCTGTGAGGTCTTCACTTACTTGCCTGGAGACCAGTTCTCTTTGAGTGATCAATTCTCCAGCATCAAAGCGAGCCTGAAGTTGGGATAAACAACAGTGAGAGGAAAGCTCTCAGATGCTCTGCTTGTCACTCAATGAAAGTAAAGCCAAGTAGTTAGAATGACAGAGAAGCAATTAGCATAGCTGCAATTTTAACTCCTCTGGATTGCCGTTAGAGCCAAGAGATAGAAAGAGAATCCTCATTTTGGAGCTTTACATTTTCCACAATTCAGCAGGTCCCATAAACGCTAAAACAAAAAAAAAGGTAGTGGGTGGAGCCCAGCAGCATTCACACTGTTCTTACCACAACAGACTTGAGGATTTCAGTTGTGATGGAGGGCAGGACACGCTCATCGTAGTCCTCTCCAATGCTTGTGAAAATGCGGGGTAACTGCGCAGTCACGGGTCTGAACAGGATACGCAGTGTGATGTTCACATTCTGTAGATCTGCAGAAACAGTCACAGATTTAGCAGCAAACCTCATGGGGAGGATATATCCTAAAGTTGTCCTCTTCAGAGGAAAGCAAAATAAGACAAACGTTCAGATTTCTAAGAAAGGAAAGGTTTTTAGTATTTCTTTCACCAAAAATTGCTTTTGACCTAGGGATCCAAATCCTCCTTACAGATTAAATTTAAGCTTCAGTTTGTTTGTAACTCAGGGAATTACTGACCCTACCGCAAACAGAAATTTTTTATTTAAGGGACAAGTATCAAACTATTCCTGACTGCTAAAATGGACTCTACACACATAGAATCTCCATGTTCAGAAAAGAAAACCCTCATGCCTATAGTCCTCTTCAGCAGGTTAATACACAATAAAGGTCTTGACTGTGGGAAAGCTTTTTCTCATGCCTCTGTTCACCCAGCTGCAAAGCAGCAAAAGAGCGAGACACACACAGCACATCAGAGAGCCCAGATCTTGTAGAGCTGCCCATCCAAAAACTCACCTTTGCTGCCAGTGATGACAGGTATGTTACGTGGGCGAGAACGGCAGTCAAAAATGATTGGTTTCTGTACCCAGGGGATGAGGAAGTGAGTGCCTTCTCCTACCACTGTGTCCTGGACCCCACGGAATCGATCAAAGATAACAGCTCTGTGTCCTGCATCAACTGGAAAATAAAACAACATCGTTTCAGTATTGTCACAAGTTATGCCTGCACAGCACCAAAACCTCCATAGAAACAGTCTATGGGAGTTAATTAAGGCCTTTTGCATCGTAAAACTGGTGAAGATATTTATATTCTTAGGAGGAACAGATCAAAAGAGAATACTCATCCATAACCCTTGACCACTCAGTTTGCTCACAAGAGACAGTTTTCTTGAGAAAAGTCTGCAGTCCTCCTCCTTACGCAATGCATGAGGTACAAAACAGCCCTGAAAGGCTTCATGGCTGTTTTCCCCAGACACCATTAGCAACAAAAGTACAGAGCAACCAAGAGCCTAGCAAAAGGGATATAAAGAGAACTGGAAGCGCTCAGCCTGTCCCACTCACCATTGTACAGAGCAGAATTGACAACTCCACCTGCAACAGCCAGCCCCAGGCCAAACTTCCCAATGCTTTCAAACACCTTGGCGGCCATTTCACACGTGCAGTTCTAGCCCCTTTAAGAAACACCTCCTGCAAAAATCCACGACTTCTGTAAAACTACACGAAACAAGAAAGCCAGGCAGCCCTGCACGTGTGTACCTACAGACCTGAGAAGTAAAGAAGTAACCCTCCTCCAAAGAACCCGCCCTGCAATGGGAGCATTCATCACAGCAGCTCTTTCTCTCCCCCTCAGCAGCCACACAGGCCTCCTTTCCCCTCCTCCCCCCCCACCACACTGCTCATCCCTGAGCTCCGAGCCCAAAGCCCCACAGTTCTCCCCAGCTCCCCCCATCCCCCTCGAGTAACCCCACACCCCGAACCCACTTTAAGCTCCTCTCACGTCCCCGTTGTCCCCGCCGCCCTCCTCCCATCCACGCTCTCCGAGGCCGCTGACTCCCAGGACAGACGCCTGGTGGGTGGAGGTCCCGCTCCTACCCGCAGCGCAGCTCCAACGATCCGAGACCCTCTACCCCTCCCCACCCCGCTCTCCTCCCGCAGCGCCCCTGACCTCCACATGAATCCGCGGCCGCCCGCCCTACCGCGCCTGCGTGCTACGTCAAGACGCCCGCTCCCCATTGGTCCACGCTTCCTCGCGGCATTCTGGGACGTGTAGTTTTTCTTTGCCTTTTCACCTGGCGGGCGGGACACAACTCCCAGCAAGCTCCGCGGCGGCCCGCTTTCTGAGCAAGACTGCTTCCCATTGGCTGTTTCTCCCGCTGCCCGCTGCTGCCGCCCGCTGACAGAAATGAGGTACTGCGGCCTGAGGGAGCGGGGCCAGTCAAAGTGGTGGAGGGGCCTCGAAGCCTCCAAGGGCAACTCAACGTGCTCTGATACACTAGAGGTCTCCTAGAGTTCCTCAGCGTGCTCCAGGGTGCCCTAGAGTACTTCAAGGGCACCTCACTGAACCCTAGAGCACGCTAGAAGCCTCCCTAAGCTCCCCAGTGTGTTCCAGGGTGCTCTAGAGGCACCAAGGACTCCCAGCGTTTCTTTATTTCTCTTGGTCTTTTAAAAGAGAGAGAAAAAAAACTTTACAGGAGGACCAGCCCTGTCAACCTTGTGTCTGACCGCAGTACCACCACCTATATGACAGGTGTATTAAACGGATGCTTTGAGTTCTAGTTTAGGTGCTGCCTGATGCATTCTAGATGGAAAAACAGCAGAATTTTTTACTCAAGAGCTGAGGTTTTTCTTACCTCTGCCCCACTTAAGGGGAGTACCAAAGCACCAGAACAGCTGAAGAAAACCTCTGAACCTTTCTTCAAAACATGCTTCCTGAACTGGCAACAAACACAGGGCTGTGAGTGTGGAGCACTGTCCCTCACTGTGTCATCTGCTGGGATCACGCAGAAATAGTGAAGCTTCCTCCCTGGGGCAGCTCTCAGACAGCAATTCCGAAGCCTTGCAGCCCCAGGGAGAGGATAGGGAATGACAACCAGAGTGAATAAGGATGTGGGAGAGCACTCACTGCTTAAGAGACTGTTCCCTTTGAGGCGCAATGCTGTTTTATTTAGCTGTTAGCTTTTGCTGCTGACATTGGTGAAATGGCCCTTAGTGCTGTACACAGGCGGTGCTGGGTTCGTTCTGCTTGTGGTGGAGGTCTGGGAGTCTCTTGGTCCTCACCATTGTTGCATGTACTGTACAGCCTAAAGATGAAAAGGGAAATTACTTTGTCTCTTCTGTACCACAGCGCTGCATGATGTTGAGCTCTGTTTCCTGTATGTGTGAAACGCTCAAGGAGTCATTTTACACGATTCACACTAAGCCTACAGGAAGAAATTACCAACCATCTCCTCAACGATCTAAGCACAAAATAAAACAGTAACGCCACAAATCTAAACGTGTCCTGCGTGGCTCTCACGTGCGTTCCAGCTTTTTCAGGAGCTCCTTACCGAGAAGCGGTTGGGCAGCTTGGCACTAGGGTTCGAAGCATGATGACACGGGCAGCAGCAGCGGCCGGGCTGAGGCTCTGTGACAGGAACGAAGCAGCCCTGAGCCGGGCTGGGGCCGGCTCTCAGCCCCTCTTTTCACCCCGGGACCGCGGGGCCGCTTTCTGCTCACCGGGCTGCAAGGCCTGCGTCGCGCCGCTATCGGTGCCGTGCCTGGTATCCATCCTGGAGCTACCCGCAGCCTGCAAAGCACAGACGGGGCGATGAGATCCATCCCAACGCCGCGCCCCCGGCCCCGCCCCGGCCCTACACGCACCCGTAGGAGCGCGGCCCTGCGCCGCTCCAGCGCCGCCTGTCTGCGCCTCGCCTCCCAGTGGAAGGCCGACATGGCGGCGGCACGCGTCGCCTAGCAACGGGCACTTCCTGAGCCCCGAGCGCCCACCGCCTGCGCTGATTGGCTCCGGAGCGAGCCGCTCTAGCACACCCACATCCTCTCTATGATTAGCCCGACTTCCGGTGCCTCCCGGATGCGGAAGTGGCTCCGGGTATGCGGGGGAAGCTATGGCGGATCTAGCGGCTTTAGAGGAGCTCGCCAAGCTCGAGTACTTGTCGCTGGTCTCCAAAGTCTGCACCGAGCTCGACAACCACCTGGGCATTAACGACAAGGACCTGGGTGAGTGAGGCGGGGCGGCAGCTGCGGGGGGCGGGCGGTTGTAGCCGGGCCTGACGGCCATAACGCCTTTAGCGTAGGGCCTTTGGAACTCAGAAAAAAACAAAAAAAGCCTTCCGAAGAAACATTGTGACGAAATTTGATGTGAACTCCTAGAAGGGGAAGGCGCTGCCCTGTAGATAGATGGATCTAGTTAGGCACTGACCTCGCGCTGTTTGATTGACTTTGTGCTCTTTCTTTGTAGCCGAATTTGTGATCAATCTTGCCGAGAAAAACACCACGTTTGACACGTTTAAAGCTGTTCTCCAAAAGAATGGGGCTGAGTTCACTGTAAGTGAGATCTGAATGCTTTTTGTGTATTCCTTTGTCCTGATTTATCAGAGAGGTGTGGGGATTGGCTGCTGATTTTTTTTTTCAACTGCAGAGCTATGCAATATTCAGCTTTTCTGTTTTCTTTGCTCTCTTGTTTACCCCTCTATTGTGGTTTGTAATAATGAACAAAAGTAATGCTATCACTTCTTAGATCTAAGCTTTCCATTTCCTTTTCTAGGATTCCCTTATTAGTAACTTGCTGCGCCTCATACAGACAATGCGGCCTCCATCAAAACCATCCACAAGTAAAGGTGAGTGAAGTCTTTTCCCTTTCATCAGTTCAGTAAAAAGAAACAAAAATAACAAAACTACTCTCAAATCCTTTGCAGTTTTTGTCTGTATTTATAGAGACAGTAGATATTTGTCTGTATTTATATGGAGCAATATACTTTAGTATTCTAAAATCTATAAGATCTGTATTAACCTTTGTATTCGGCTGAAACTTCATGTTTAATTTCAGAAAGGCTGAGCAGAAATCATTTTGACTCTTTCTTGTTTGTTTGTTTTATTAATCTCCCAATCAGAGGCCGTTGTCAAACCCAAGTCGGAAAAGGAAAGGTTGAAGGAATTATTTCCAGCCCTTTGCAGGCCAGACAATCCCAGCGTTAGGGTAAGGTTATGATTTCAGTTTTCTTTCAAGAGTGTGCAAAAACACAGTTTGTGGCTTTTTTGATGTCTCTGTTTATTTCAAGTTTCACATTAGAGTTTGTATCTCCAGCCAAAGCATGAATAAGAGCAGACTGAGAAATAAAACATAAAAGAGCCCAAAGGCTGATGTTATTAAATGTAGTCATCAGGAATAGCTGTTACAAACAGTTGCTTCTGCAAACTTACATTTTGTAACTCAATAATAATTTGAGGTGTTGGGATGAAGCTATCTTTCATGTAAAAGCAGAATTGGCACACTATTTTGGCAAAATAAGAATAACTTTGTTACGCTTTTCATCTGTTCTTATCATATATTCTGAATTTTTTTTTTAATAACTTGTATTCTTTTAATTTGTACTCTTTCTGAATAGAAATGCATGAGATAATTTTTTCTGTAGGTGAATTCTCTGTGACAGATTTTTTTTCTCAGCTGTTTTATAGAATGATTCTCTGTTCTTGTAGAATATGCTGGATGAAGATGATGTGAAAGTGGCAGCTGATGCACTTAAAGAACTTGAAGCTCTGATGCCTAGTGCAGACAGGCAAGGCAAACAAAGGAACAATGAACACCGGTGTGTTTTTAATTCATCTTTAAGGGAATGGATATTGGCAGTTAATATTGCCTGCTTGCTCTGTGGAATTTCAGTGTGAATATATTTTCTTTTGTTTGTTAAGGGCAAAGAAAAAGAGGAGGAGCCGAAGCCGGAGCAGGGACAGGAAACGAAGGCACAGATCTCGCTCTAGGTCTCATTCCAGGACTCGGGATAGGAACAGGGGTAAATCCAGATACTACTCAAGGAGCAGGAGCAGGAGTCCAAGTAAGGACCGTAGGGATCGAGACAAGTATGTTGAGAAGAGCAATGAGAGATGGAGAGACAAGCATGTCGACCGTCCACCACCTGAGGAGCCTTCCATTGGAGACATTTACAATGGCAAAGTCACCAGTATAATGCAGTTTGGGTGCTTTGTGCAGCTGGAAGGTCTGAGGTATGTTATAATAATTGCAACAAATCTGGTACTGTTCTGTCTCTGCTTTTTTCTGCTGATGTCTTTAAGAAGTTACAGTGCTACAAAAAGGTACACTGAGTTTTATTGCTAAAATGAAGTTCTGTTTCAGAAAAATAAGGTAGACAGAGGAGAATGTTAACTATTTTTACAAAAAACAGTTTACGAACATACACAGACAATCAGTTGACAACAAAATATTTTAATCCAGACTCTGAATGATCTGAAGGACCATCTGAGTAATAACGTTCAACATCTCATATTGCTGTGTTTCACCTACAGGAAGCGTTGGGAGGGCTTGGTCCACATCTCAGAGCTTCGAAGAGAAGGACGTGTTGCCAACGTTGCTGATGTTGTGAGCAAAGGTCAAAGAGTAAAGGTCAAAGTGTTATCCTTTACTGGATCCAAAACCAGCCTGAGCATGAAGGTATGGAATTGTCACATCCCACTGGATGTGGAATCCATTCTGTGGTGCTTAGTGTAGAAGTTTTGGGATGCTAAGATGTTTAAAGATTGCATTTCTTTTTGTTATCTTGCTAGTGAATACTAACATGTAACTCCTCAAGTTAGGGAACTGTAACTCGTTTTTTTAAGTAACCTGTTATCTCATATTCATTTTCTTTAGTTCTTTTGTGTGTTTCTGATGTAATAGTCCAAACAGTTTTTTTGATTTGACACTCACCTGAGTGACTGATGAAACTTCAAGCAGTTGCTATACTTGTCTAGATGGAACACAGGTAGAGCTGTCTAATTAATCTATCTGATGTAGGATGTTGATCAAGACACTGGAGAAGACTTGAATCCAAATCGGAGGAGAAATTTGGTTGGAGAAACCAATGAAGAAACTTCTATGAGAAACCCAGACAGACCCAGTCACCTGTCCTTGGTGAATGCCCCGGAGGTGGAGGATGATACCTTGGAACGGAAACGGCTCACCCGAATTTCAGACCCAGAGAAATGGGAAATAAAGCAGGTACCTAGTTTAATTTATGCTTTGACTCTAAGTATAGAGTCTGCTGTTTTCTCATGGGACTTTTTGGCCAGCTGTATCATGCTTATGCTATGCAGAGTAACCGAAAGACTGTTCTGAGGCTTGATGACGTGGGGAGATGTGTCCAGAATGTGAGAATGTCCTGAACAAAGGAATGGTCCTTTGCTTTGAAATCAGAACATTCCTTTATTCCTGGCTTGCAAGTCTGACAGTATCATTAGAACTGAGACCTCATGGGTGTAAGCTGTTTTTGTTCATGGGGATAAATTCATGTTTTATTCATTCTCTTACTAGATGATTGCTGCTAACGTGCTTTCTAAGGAAGAGTTTCCTGACTTTGATGAGGAGACTGGGATTCTTCCTAAAGTTGATGATGAAGAAGGTAGGTTTCTAAGTAGTCTTATGGTTCTTAATTTCTTATGTTTCTGGACATAAAGTATCACATTTCTGCTGTGAAATGAATATGAAACGTATTACAATTTTCTTAAACATTTAGAACTTTCTATTAAAATTACCACGTCTTGATTGTAGATGAAGATCTTGAGATTGAGTTAGTTGAAGAGGAACCACCATTCCTTCGAGGTCATACTAAACAGAGCATGGATATGAGTCCTATAAAAATAGTAAAGGTAAGAAGAGATTTTTAGGATTAAAGACAGTACTCTTTATTTAATTGATTTAATTGGGAGCACTTGAAATTTTAATGTTTTCTCTTGCTTTTCAGAATCCAGATGGTTCATTGTCCCAGGCTGCAATGATGCAGAGTGCTTTAGCTAAAGAAAGAAGGGAACTTAAACAAGCCCAAAGAGAAGCAGAGATGGATTCTATCCCCATGGGACTCAACACACATTGGGTGGATCCTCTCCCTGATGGTATGCCTGAACACATCTAAATGTGAACCGTGCATTTTTTGTGGCAGTTGAGGATGCATTACTAAACAGCAAGGTGGATGGTGAAACAATTTTATTTTGTTTTTAGCCTGGAAATTGATGTAATAGAGGGGGTAGACCTACAGGAACTTTGAAAGTGCATAAACACACAAGAAAAATATAGAAGGTGTGGATGATGAAGCGATAGGAGCTTAAATGTATAATGAAATTGTTTCTTTTTTAGTGGATGGAAGACAAATAGCTGCAAATATGCGAGGTATTGGGATGATGCCCAATGATATCCCAGAGTGGAAGAAACATGCGTTTGGTGGCAACAAAGCCTCTTATGGTAAGAAGACACAGCTTTCTATCATTGAGCAGAGAGAAAGTCTCCCAATCTTCAGACTGAAGGAGCAGCTGATACAAGTAAGACTCTTGAAATGATGTTTGAACAAGCAGTAATTTGATACAAATGTTGTTTTAGCTTGTTAGTCGGTGAATAACCATTTGATAAGCAGAGCTGTAGCTCAGAGTAATTATTTTTATTTACAAATATATATGTTAGTAAAGCAAAATTAAAACTAAAATCACATGGGAAAACAGATTTGTCAGCTGTGTGGTTGAGAAGTTTGCAAACTCTTTCAGTAAGAGTATATCACTTTTGGTCTGGGTCAGCTGGAGCAAGAAAAGTAGGTTTTCAGTCTAGTCCATGTTTATTTTTGCTTGTTCTCATTTTTGAAGTTGTTAATATATGTATTTTTAATGATCTTTTCTAGGCTGTGCACGACAACCAGATTCTGATTGTTATTGGAGAGACAGGATCTGGGAAAACAACACAGATAACCCAATACCTGGCTGAGGCAGGGTATACATCAAGAGGAAAGATTGGATGCACTCAGCCTCGCAGAGTGGCTGCAATGTCTGTTGCGAAGAGAGTGTCAGAAGAATTTGGTTGCTGTTTGGGGCAAGAGGTGAATTTCAGAGTTGAACAATGTGCCAGAATAATCATGAAGAAAAGCAGGAGGAAATCAATAGTGGAGCTGTTTTGGGTTTTTTTTTGCTAATGTACATGTGTGTGTTCCATTGTAAGCTGTAAAATTGGCTGGCAGATTAATCAAACTAAGAACTAATGGTGGTAATTATTTCTTTTGGGTGCAGATTCAGTTTTAATGTAAAAATGGTGTGTTTTCTATTCAACTCTTCCTTTTAGGTTGGCTACACCATTCGATTTGAAGACTGTACTAGCCCTGAAACTGTCATCAAGTACATGACAGATGGTATGTTACTGAGAGAGTGCTTGATAGATCCTGATCTGACTCAGTATGCCATTATTATGCTGGATGAAGCCCATGAGAGGACAATTCACACAGATGTGCTCTTTGGACTCCTGAAGAAGGTAATGTCATATCTGATTTTTATTGCTCTGATGTCCTCTGTGTGCTATACACAGGTAGGAACCCAATGGGAAAGGAAAGGCCACACAGATTAATTTCACTTCAGTACTGAGTTTCCTAAGAAGCAAAGCTATGTTCCTAATAATTTGTAGTCCGCATTTTTCTCTGTGTGAAGATAAAGCAAGCAAAATTCAACAGAAACAAAAAGCTTCAGCTCTTCAAGGCGCTCTTAATATTGGATGAGCAGAGGAACGCTATTGTGTTGCTCTTCATTCTCTGACCAAAGCTTTCTGTGATGGATGCTGCTAAGGAAGGTTTGAAATGTGACCTCAGTGGCTGATTATTTGAAAATCTCAATGCTGGAATGAGCCACCCAATTATTTGTCAAATTGCCTGAGACAGCTGGTCACATTTCTTTCTTAAATACGAAATATTTCTTTGACTGAAGTCAACTGCTGTATATTAGTTGTCTCAAAGACAATAAATGACCTGAGAACTTTCTTTTCTGCTACAGACAGTGCAGAAACGGCAGGATATGAAGTTGATAGTGACGTCGGCAACACTGGATGCTGTGAAGTTCTCTCAGTATTTCTATGAGGCTCCAATCTTCACAATTCCTGGCAGAACATATCCAGTCGAAATTCTGTACACAAAAGAGCCAGAGACAGATTATTTGGATGCTAGTCTGATTACAGTAATGCAGATCCACTTAACCGAACCACCAGGTGAGTGGAGAGTCATGATGTATGGATGGTGAGTCTGGTTGATAAGTGACTGAGGGACTGTAGCCTATGAGCAATATCTTTCTGTCTCGTTGAATGTAATTGGTAACAGGAGCAGAACAGAGCCCTTGGCACTATTGTCTGTTGTTTGCAAATACAGTAAATAAAATGTTAAAGATGTTGGGTGAAAGATTAAAGTGTGTTGCTTCTGGCTGAGGGAGCTAGCAAAAGTGGGGCTCTCTGCTTCAAATGGAAAGGTGTCCTATGGAAATGTGGTAATACAGGAGTTGTACTAAGCATAGTTGATTCTATGCATATTTTACTTCCTTTGTAGGCGATATTTTGGTGTTTCTAACTGGCCAGGAGGAGATTGACACAGCCTGTGAGATCCTTTATGAAAGGATGAAATCTCTGGGACCTGATGTTCCAGAGCTGATTATCCTCCCGGTATATTCAGCCTTACCCAGTGAAATGCAAACCAGGATCTTCGACCCAGCCCCACCAGGAAGCAGAAAGGTAATTTCAGCTAAGTATGACTTCATTTTCTCCTGGTATATTTTAATAGTTGGGTATATTACAGTGCTGATCATACTTATTTTAGTATTTCCGATCCTTATAGTCGCTATTTCAAACAAAGGGAAGTACTTTTGGAGAGAAGGTGGCTTTTACATAGCATGGAGAATGTTTTTGGTTCCATATATGCCTATACAAAGTGGTTACTGAAACAAGCTGTTGTTTGTAGGTTGTTATTGCCACTAACATTGCTGAGACATCGCTTACTATTGATGGAATATATTATGTAGTCGATCCTGGCTTTGTGAAACAGAAGGTATACAACTCCAAGACTGGGATTGACCAGCTGGTTGTTACACCAATCTCACAGGTAGGCATTCTGCACTCAATGCTTTTATTTCCTGCTGTTAACATGCATTTAAATGGTATGGAATCCAAGCACATGAAAGTAAAGCAAGATAAAACTGCATTTTTGAAAACTCCTTGAGATTCTTTGTGGGCATGCTAAGGAAAATGTAACTTTTCTGGGATGTATTGGAAATCTTTTTTTTCTATCGCAACAAATAAAATGGTGAATAATTATTTTATTTCACATTTTTTAATGGTACCTGTTTACACCTGTTTGCTGACATGCCTTTTTGCCTTTAGGCTCAAGCAAAGCAGCGAGCAGGAAGAGCTGGGAGAACAGGACCTGGGAAATGCTATAGGCTGTACACAGAGCGTGCTTATCGAGATGAAATGCTAACAACCAACGTGCCTGAAATCCAGAGAACAAATTTAGCCAGTACAGTACTCTCCCTCAAGGTGGGTATTTCTTTGACTTTCAGCAAATCAGCCTGATCATAAACTTTTCAGTGAATTAGATTCTGTCTCAACCCTGGTGGTTCAGTCAGTTGAAGTTAGTGTTTTGTTTTGATGCTTATGTATCACTGGCTGGAGTTTGGTGTCTTCCTTCTCCTCCGTGTTGTAACTTGCCTCTTCTCCACTCCATCTGCTTAGGCTATGGGCATCAATGATTTGCTGTCCTTTGACTTTATGGATGCTCCCCCAATGGAAACTCTCATCACTGCCATGGAGCAGCTGTACACTCTGGGAGCTCTGGATGATGAGGGATTACTCACTCGACTTGGGCGCAGGGTAGGCTAAATGAAATACTTCTTGGTGCTGTCTGGATTGCCAGTGTTTAGAGGGTGACATGGAGCAGTTGTTTTGTATTTTCTGCTTTTTAAGGATCAGCTGTTATTTTTGCTTATTCGTAAGGTTACTTATATGAATATCTGAAATAATTTCCTGTAAGTGTTGAGATATCCTTGTGAGTGTGTGTATAGACAAATAATTTAATGTTGAATATAATTATTCTGGGTAATACACACAGCTTTGATGAGAAAGCTTAGGAGAAAGAGCTTTTCTCTATTCCACTGAGGGAACTCAAGATTTTTTTAAGGCTTTTCAGGGTACTCTGAAACAATTCTTTTGCAGATGGCAGAATTCCCCTTGGAACCCATGTTGTGTAAAATGTTGATCATGTCTGTACATCTGGGATGCAGTGAGGAAATGTTGACAATAGTCTCCATGCTGTCTGTTCAGAATGTGTTCTACAGGCCAAAGGTAAGGATTGCTGCTGAGAGGAAGCACTGTTACAATATGAATGTGTTTTGCCTTAGGTCTTAGGGAGTGAGATATCTGCCAAAACAAACCTGTTGGTTCATGCATTGCATATCTGATACCTTTTTTGGACACTGTAGCTGGGGGGATGCTAGTAGTTTCTTTGCAGGTGGGAAGATGGAAGTTACAAGTCTTTTTCTTTTCCCAGTAAATACGTATAATCCTAAACCAAGTCAGCTTTAGCTCTGCAGATCAGAATGGCTTTGTCATTTTCACACATATGGAATGTATTTCTTCAGGACAAGCCACTGATGATTGCTTTTAAGTCAGCAAGCAGCAGGCTGTGCTGTGGTAGGATTCCTTTGCAGCAGACTCCTCTTGAAACCATTGGTTCTTTGTTAGGATGGCCTGCTGCAACTTAGACCAAAATGAAGTTAACTATGTAATACAGTGTCTAATTAATGATTGATGAGCAGATTGGACAAGTGGGGAGGGGTTGGAAGAGCAGCAGGGTCAAAGCCACTGCTTCAGTACCTCTGCTAAGATGTAAGTGATGGATGCATACTTTCTGTGTTAGGATAAACAAGCACTTGCTGATCAGAAGAAAGCCAAGTTCCATCAGACAGAAGGTGACCACCTCACTCTGCTGGCTGTGTACAATTCCTGGAAGAACAATAAGTTTTCCAATCCTTGGTGCTATGAAAACTTTATCCAAGCCCGCTCCTTACGCAGGGCACAGGACATCCGCAAGCAGATGTTGGGCATTATGGACAGGTGAGCATCTCCAGAGGAACAGCTACTGACTTGGTAGTGTTCTTATACTATAGTAACTGAATAAAATTTATTAATCTGATGATAGTGGCTCCACTTGGATATGGAGAATTCTGATTTTTTTTTTTCTTTTTTCTCCTTAACTCTTTTCTGGCAGGCACAAACTGGATGTGGTGTCCTGTGGCAAGGCAACAGTTCGAGTCCAGAAGGCCATTTGCAGTGGTTTCTTCCGAAATGCAGCAAAGAAGGATCCTCAGGAGGGTTATCGAACGCTCATTGATCAACAAGTAGTCTATATTCACCCATCCAGTGCTCTCTTCAACAGGCAGCCAGAATGGTAAGGTGTCATAGTTTTATGTTTTTTTCCTTGTCTAATTGATGTCAGGAAAGGGATATCATGTAATTTCCTGTTTCAGTTCAAACTCCGTAACTTAAAAGCCTGTTGTGTGCACTATTTGTAGTATACAGATCGAGGTGTAGGCTTCTGACTTTCTGCAGTGAGTGGAGTGAGAGAAGTTTCATATCTGCTTTTGGCTCTTTCTACTGCTAGAATTTGTGCCTCTGCAGGCATGAGGGCTTTGTTTAGAACCAAAGCTGGGACTGAATTAGTGGTAGTTCTGTGTTTCTGTTTGTGGAATTGAGATTTGTGGAATGTTAAGAGAATGAGTTGTTTTGGACTGAATGGAACATTTCTATGCTGAAGAGGTAGGAGAGGAAAAAGAAATGGTTCTTCTGGAGGGTTCTTTTGGAGTGTTGTGTTGGACAAGGGAAGAATCAGAGATGCAGTGCAGCCCTTGACATGCCTCTTTTTTATTTTTTTGAGATCTCAATATCCCCAATTCCTGTCTCTTTTCACAGGGTGGTGTATCACGAACTGGTGCTGACCACTAAGGAATACATGCGTGAAGTGACAACCATTGATCCCCGCTGGCTGGTGGAATTTGCACCAGCATTCTTCAAGGTTTCAGATCCAACCAAACTGAGCAAACAGAAGAAGCAGCAGAGGCTTGAACCTCTGTACAACCGCTACGAGGAGCCCAACGCCTGGAGAATATCGCGTGCGTTCCGACGCCGATAACCTCCCTGCTCTCCTCCAAAAACAGACTGCTTTTCTATGTGATTTTTAGACTGTTGTGTCCAAAAGCAAATCCAAAAGCAAGTGTCCTTTCTTTTAGAACGCTTGCAATTGGAGTTTACTTACAAAGTTGACAGGAAAGAGGTGTTTTCAGAGAAAAAGCACAAGGGGGCGGTGCTTGCTTATGTCAGCTGCTCTTCAGATTTCTACAGCAGTGTGACAAATGTCCTCTGTATTGCATCACTTCAAAAACGGTCCTTGAAACACTTTTTGAGTCATTCCCATTTTTTTTTTCTTTTCTTTTTTTAGAGACAAAACCTTAAGGCTCAGAAATCTGAGCAGAGCAACAACAATAAAAAGGCAGTGGTTAAGAAATAGCTGCTAACCAACCTCACTGTTTGGAATGACCAGATTTATTTCTTTACTCTGCTAAGGGACTTATTTCAACTTACACTCTCAGACAGTGGCTGTTTTGAGGGAGCTGCTTATTCTGCATTTTTCCTGTTCACTTTTTGTCCCTTCTGCAATGAGCTATTTAGTATCTATGGCTTTGGAATAATGCAGGAAAGATCCCTTGAAACTCAGCTAGAATGTCTGTTACACTTGGATAATGGCACAGGTCAGACTGCAAGTCTTATCCTTCCTCACCATCTCCTATGTGCTGAAGGCTAGTATATCAAATGATAATTAACCACATCCACTCTGTAGCACGGCTCTGTCTATGAGCATAAGTGGTTGCAGATGTTTGGACTTTCTCTACAATGTGTCATGTGTTTTATTTCCACTTACAATGCTTGGTGACATCACAACTGTTGGTTTTTCAATAGAATATTCTCTTACAGCTGAAATGTCTGTAAAACACGGTGTAACAGTTCCCTGTTTAAGAGCAGATCTGACTGCCCAGTGTGCACTATGTCATGCTGGAGGTATCTGTAAATTGTTTTATTTTTTTTTCTGTTGCAAACAGATGAAACTTATTTGGTGCCATAGATGGAGATCTCCAACTTTTTTGTTTGCTAAGGTTGTTTAAATGAGTAGAAAGAACTTGGCTGGTTGTTCTGTACCCAGCCACCAAGAAATATGCTTTAATCTGAAAGGAGATATGTTGTATCTATGTACAAAAGTGGACAGGGTTGTTGTATATACTGTTTTATTATGTTATATAAATACCCTGAGCTCTTCCCTGCTGTTACATCTTTACAGAGCTAAATAGAATTAGAAACTTTGTACGTTTGGAGGCTGTTTATTTTCCTTGTGTCACTGTGCAGATACAGTTGTCTAATCCTCTTCTGAGCCATTTTCCTTCTGCCCGCTGGCAGAGAACAAGCTTAGCAGTGAATTAGCTACAAGTAAAGGGGGAAAGGATACAGGGAGTGAATAACTCACAAATAAACTGAAGGGTTGCAATGAGTGCCATTCCCCAATGGTTGGCAAGCAGACTTATTTGCCTCCAGCTTGTGCTAGTGAGCTGCATCAAGCTATGGTTGGTTTATATATATGTGTATATATTATATATGTTTTTATATCTTATTTTGTATGTCTTATTTCTTCCTGGAAGTCCAACCTTTTGCCCTTTATGCAAGAAAGATAAATGTGATTTTTACAGCCGCCTTCACACGTGCTCCATCTGCTATAGTAACTACTTTAGCCTCATTAATGGGCTTGTTACCAGAGCCAGTGTGACAGCAAAGTGCTCCTTATACAACAGGGGCTTTGTTTGTAGTAATTCAGTTTCCATGAGCTTTCTGTGACAATTGCAGAGGGCTGTGATGTCGACCCATTAGCACTTGTGTGGAATTTTTCATTTATGAATGTATTGTTCTCTTCAAGCCAGCTGGGAATACAGTGAGTACCCATTTTTTTAGCACACGTGTTTTGTGTGTGCATTTTCTGTCACCTGCATAAATCCTTGGGCTGGTGTCTCTGTGCTGGAGCTGCGTTGTGCTGCTTGGTCTGGGCTGAAAATGGTGCTGGAGCTCGTGGAGCTGCTTGGCCAGCAGTCTGTGTTCAGGAGGGAAAGGAGGGAATCCTTGAATGCAGAAAAGTTTCTCTTCTCTTTTTGAAACAACGGTTCCCTTTGGCCAGAATAAAAGCAAAGAGGTGGAAAAGAATTGGATCCTGGTGGCTTCTGGCTGTTTTGGAAGTGTTACCATTCATTTCTACCACCAAGTTCTGCCTCACTGCCAGTGTCTGAAAACTCTGCTGATGGAAATCCATTGTCAGATTGGTGCACCTGAGCAGAGCCAGCAAGGGGAAGAGGAGCTGCTGGGTGACAAGGTGATACTGAGCAGTACTGAGGGCCACAGCTGCCAAGCTCTGCCCTCTGTGTGTCTACTGGAGCCCTGGGGTCCTCCTGCAGTGAGCTGCCTCTGAGCATGGATGTGTGACCTTCACTACAAATCCAGGGAAACCTCTCAAGGATCAGAGCTGGGCAGAGCACCCAGAGCCCCTGCAGCACCAATGGTAAATACAGGCATTGCTCAGCTGTGCTCAGATGTGCATCCTTGCACTGCTTTCTTTCATAATTTTCATAACTTCTATGTTGTGCATTAATGCAAATGCTTCAAAACTGTACCTGCTGGCCTGTTTATGTAGTTGGTCTTTTTGGTTTTGCTTTTTTGTTGTTGTTGTTGTTCCCTCTTTAGTAACTCACGTTTAATTCATTTGTACTGGGATCTTTGAACTACACTGGGCTTTTGGATAGGCAAAAATCAGTTTGGTTGGGGCTCTGTCAAGTGCTGGGATGTCCCTGCCTGACCCTGGGGGCTCTGTCTGTCTCTGCCTGATGGAAGGAAGGCAGAAAGAGCAGCAGAAAGAGCAGTGCACCCTAAACTCTCATGGAGCTCACTCAGAGAAATGGAAACAGGTGCCACGGAGCTGAGCCAGAACATGAGAGGCACTTCAGGTGCCATTAACTGCTCCAGCTAACGAGCTGCTATTGTGGATGGCACCTGTTACTGTGATTCAAGGAGGAGGGGGAGATGTGCAGAGGAGGCATTGTGGGGCTGAGGAATTGAGCAGAGCAAATCTCTTGAGTGTGTCTGCAAGCTCAATGCCTGCATCCTTTTCAGGAGTGTTACATCTCCAGAAAACACTGCAGGGATTTGGGTGTCCTGCTGTTAGTGCCCCTGGGGTTGTGCTCACCCATGGTGTGTAACATGGCATGCACTGCTCTGCATTCTGTCTGCTGCTCCTGGGACAAGACCTGCACCAAAGCAGTGGAGCAGCTGGATCAGGGAGAGATGTTTGCATTGTGTTAATAATCCCTCTCCCAGTCAGGTGAGATTTGCTGTCGCTTTTCTTCATTCTCACCATTCAGCCTTATGGAATCCAGTAGTAGAATATTTCCTGCACCAACCTCCGTTCAGAAAATCCTATAGATGTGGTCTCAAGAGAGTTCAGCTCCACTTGGCAACCTGTTAAGGCTCATTCCTTTGTCCCAGACAGCACACACTTAAGGGTACATCTGGGACATGCTGTAATGTTGCACGTTAATTATTTACTATGACCAGAAAGGAACTTTGCATTGTGTTCTGTGTGAGAGATTTACAGCACATCCTGCTGGGCTCTGGGCTGTTGCTGGAGGCAGAGGGACAGTAAGGCCGTGGCAACAGGAGCAACCCATTGAACAGACATGCTAGAAAAAAGTAAAATTGGAAAGAAATGAGTGCTGAGGGTTTATTTCCTGCTGCTCCCAAAGCACCATCGTATCCTGAAGAATAAGCCAGTAGGATAAATCTTAAATAGGGTGAGGAAACAATAGTAGAAAGTGTGAGAATATCAGGTGTACTTGCATCCAGGTGGCAGAGCATCGTCATGAGCAGAAATTGCCCCTGGGGGCTTTTCCATGAAGAGCAATGGTGTGAGTTATGTCCTTTCTCCTTATCCTACCCACCAAGCATGTAGAAGAGCTGGTCTGGAAATTTATAGGGGGAAGGGACAGCGCTGTGCAGGAGCACTGTCTGCACAACCCCTTGCACCCATGGATGTGCCACAAGGATCCAGCTTGGAGAAAGGCAGTGCTGCTGGCTGCAACTGTGGGCATTTGGGTTTCTGAGTGCTGGAAACTCCCACGAAGGGTGGGATGGGGTTGGCACCTCCAGGAGCAGCACAAGGAGTGGTGGCACTTGGCACCCCAGCAGCCTTGGCCTGGCTGAACTGGAACTGCAGAGTGCATTCATTAGCTCCCACTGTCTGATGTGGGTATTATAAATCTCTGCCTTTAGAGGCCCCCCCCCCCCCCTCAATTATGAGAACCTGATCTTGCTGATTCCCAGAACTGCTCCCTGCAGCATTGATCCGTGCACTGACAACTCCGAGTGAAAGATGGGGCTGCAATGTCATCCGACTGATAATCAGCTCCCTCCTCCTTTCTGGAATGAAGTTTGAATGGGCTCAAGGGTAACTCAAAGAACTTCAGAAAGCAAATTGCTTTGGGCATCCTGCAGCTTTGAGGCATAGAGTCAAAACAAGTTGGTGGAACAGCCAGGGGCTAAAAGGAAGGGGCAGCAGCCAAAGACATAGACCAATTTATTAATTAATTATAGTATTTTTTTTACACTCATAAATAGTAAAGGCAGATTATACCAACAGCAGGGTCCCCCTTTGCCATCAGTATGGGACAGCGGAGGCACTCGGTAGAGTGGGATGAGGCAGCAAGACTGGGAGCCCAGGGCTGAGCAGGGGAAGGCAGCAGCAGAAGGGGGTTCCTTCTGTGCCCCTCCATGAGAGGTTCTGTCAGCCCTGCAGGACTGAAGCACAGAGGGAATGGGTCTTTCAGTCAAGGAGGAAAGAGGCTGTTTTGGTGCAGATTCACCACGCTGCTCCTCACCCCACTGGGCACTGGATTGGAGCAGCTAATTAAGAAGCTCAGCACCTCTTCATGGGGATGTGGTGCCCACTGTTAATTTTCACTATTGTGGAAAAACAGTTAAAATGCTGCTTTGGGCTGCAGGTATATCTGCCTTTCCCCCACTTCAGACTTTCCTTCAAAGAGGTAAATGCATACAGAGGTTAGGTCTAAATTCAGACAGTAAAAGCTCTGATTTAAGTTATTCTAAAGAGCATTTTCATAATCTCTCCCCCCTCCCTCTCAGGTTCTTTTTACACCTCAGATGATTTTCTAGCCAAGCCCATGAGCCTCCAAAGATCCTAGAGATGGTCCTAGCCCTTGTCTAGGTTGAAACAACCACACCACACTGCTGCACAGGTGGCAGAGGCAATGACATTGATTTGACTCACACCCAGCACAGCACATCAGGCAGCTCTGTGGTTGCCCTGTGCTGATTTCAGTGCCACGCACACTGAGAGTGCTCTCACTCTGCCCCACATCTTCAGCTGCACAGCTCAGAAATACGTAGCAGCCCTGGCATGAGGTGCTGCAGGCGAGGAGGTGGCAATGCAGGAGCATGCACATACAAGATAGGTACTTCTCAGTGCCAACAGAGCAGTTCAGGGGGAGGCATTTGGTCTGAAGCCACATGGCACAGCTCTGCTGGGCAGAAGGGAAGGTTGGCCCTGAGGAGGTGAATCTGCACAGGTCTGGGCTGCTTTTGGCTGAGGGCCAAGGGATCAGCACTGGAGGAACACAGCCAGCAGCAGCTGTAGCATCTCCAGCTGTGAGAAGAAGCTGAGCAGGATGGCATCACCTCTGCTGAGGGGAAGGATGTTGTAGGTGGGCTCCTGCTGGAGGCAGCAACCACCAGTGATGCTGGGAAGCCACAGCTGCCCTGCTCAGGTGATGACTTCACACTGAGGAGTGGTTCCATCCTGCCATATATGGGGTCGGCACCCAGCAGCCCCATTAACCCCTTGCTGGCTATCCATCCACACATCAACCTGAACCCTTCTCCTGCCCACAGCAGGTATCATAGTTCTGTGCAGCCCCAGGCTGGCCTGGGAAAACACTTATACAGCTTGGATACTAACCAGACATCTCCTTATATACACGAGCAGGGTG